CGTCTCCTGAGCCTCTGCAGAAGCAGCACCCGATACTGAACTGACATCAAGCGGAACATTTGCTGCTGCTGCTGCTGCTGCTGCAGCAGCTGCTGCTGCTGGCCCCGGAACCTTGGCTGCTGCAGCATCACCCATTGCTGCAGCAGCAGCTGCTGCTGCTGCTGCTTGCTGCTGCTGCGCAGCTGCTGTCTGCTGATGGGCCGCGAAGCTCAGAGCTGCACACAAACAAACAGCAGCAGCAACAAATAAACTTTCACAGCAGCAGCAGCAGCAGCAGCATCAGCAGCAGCAGCAGCAGCAGCAGAGCAGCAGCAACAGTCGAAGCAACAGGAGCAACAACTGCAGCAGGACTAGCAACAACCGCTGCAGCAGCAACAACAACCGAAGCAGCAGCAGCAGCAGCAGCAACAACAGCAGCAAGAGCAGCAGCACCACGCCCAGCAGCAGCAGCAGCAGCAGCAGCAGCAGCAGCAGTAAGGTTACCTGCGGCCCTCCCTCCTGCACCTGCGAAGAGGCGCCAAGCGTCTGCCGTTTGTGCGTGCTGCTGCTGCTGCCGATGCTGCTGCAGCATCTGCTGCTGCTGCTGCTCCAGCAGCTGCTGGTCCCGCTGCTGCTGCAGCCGCACCAGCTGCTCCTGCAGCTGCTGCTGCATGGCGGTGTCAACAGCAGCACGAGCTCGTGCTGCAGCAGCAGCAGCTGCTGCTGCTGCTGCACCATTTCCTCCCCCCAAACTAGCAGCAGCAAACGCTGCTGCTGTAGATACCGCCTGCTGCTGCTGCTGCTGCTGCTGCAGCGCCAGCAGCGCAGCAGCTTGTGCTGATGGGTGCCCCTGAGCCTGAGCGAGGATCAGCTGCTGCTGCCGGTGTATAGCTTGCTGCTGCTGCAGCCGTTGGTGGTGCTGCTGCACGATGAGCTGCTGCTGCTGCTGCTGCCGCTGCAGCAGCAGCTGCTGCTGCAGCGCTTGCTGCTGCAGCAAGTGCTGCTGCGTCAGCTGCTGCGCACTCAGCTGCGGCAGCTTACCCTGAAGAGCAGCAGAAGCACCAGGGCCCCCAAGGGCCTCCTGCTGCGTTCCCTGCCGCATCTGCTGCTGCTGCTGCTGCTGCTGCCGCTGCTGCTGCTGCTGCTGCCGCTGCTGCTGCTGCTGCTGCCGCTGCTGCTGCTGCTGCTGCTGCTGCTGCTTTCTAGGCGCCTCGCTGCTTGCTGCTGCAGCTGCTGCTCATCCTTCTCTCGTTGCTGCTGATGTAAATGCAGCAGCAGCAGCAGCTGCTGCTGCTGCTGCTTCAGGCGCTGCTGTGTTGGAGCTGGAGCAGCAAGAACAACAACAGCAGCAGCAGCAGCAGCAGCAGCAGCAAGAGGTGCTGCTGCTGCTGCTGCTGCTGCTGCTGCTGCAGCGGTGATTGCTGCAACAAGCCAACAGATCAGCTGCAGCAGCAAATATATAAAACGCAGCAGCAGCAACAAATAAAAAGGAAAAAAGAAGAGAGAGAAGATTGAGGTGTATATACACCGCACCACCGCCTGCTGCAGCAGCTGCTGCTCCCGTTGCTGCTCCC